CGGGCGACGAAGGTGCACGCCACAGAACCTATCCTAGAGCCATGGACGCGATGCGGAGATCAGGTCGAAGAAGGAGATGCTGCCGGAGGGCATCTCACCAGTGCCCAAAGCGCATGTGAAACCTTTGAGAGGGATGAGAGATTAGAAAGCTGCAGGGAATCAAAAGAAGATCCACCCACATATGTACGAGATTCGCAGCAGAGAACATAGAGGAACGTCGAAGGAATGCCCCCAGACGAGAGAGAAAGGGAGAGCGACAGGGCCAGAATGGTGAAGAAAGGCAAGTCGTCGAGGCAGATCCAAGAGATAACAACTGAAAAGCCCATAGGCACGGCCAGGGCAAAGCCCCTCCCAAGGGCGGCGAGAAAGCGGAAAGCGTGAAAAACGCAGGCAAAGCGACGCCCACGTCGACGGTGGAGGCTGAGACACAGAAAGCGCTGAGGGGGGAAAGAGAAAAAAGGAAGAAGGGGACGCGCCTTTTGGAGGCCCAAAGGGCGAGGCAGGGAAGCACGTGCCTAGATGCCATCAGCTGATAGGTGTGACCATCACAAATAGGGTCTGAGGAACGATCCTGAAAAGTCTCAGGGATCTCCTGGATCGCTCCCACGACCCCAAACGGGGACGAATCCTCTTAAATTCGACGACATAAGTGCCAAAATCTTTGATGGCTATCACATGATATGTCACATGATCAGACTATATGACATATCACATGATCTACATCACATAATCAGACCACATGACATTGTCACATGATCACATCACATGACTACTATATCACATGATTGATCACATGTCATATCATATGACTGTATCATGTGATATACAATATGAACAACTATATGATGCATTTATCATGTGCCTATCAGATGAAACCATATCAGCTAGAGTCAGACATCAATTTTCTGGCCATATTTTCACTAACTACCATATTTGGAAATGTGCACAGACCAAGTAAACAACACATTAACATTATTAATGACCATTTCCAGCATGTGAATTTCTTTTCTTATTTTTTTGACAAATACTGCTAATGATGAAAGGTGTCGTTACCGGCGGTTTCTTTCCCTGTTTTTCTGGGAGGCAGCCATGATGACAGGCAAGAAAAAATATGAAAACACATATCTCAAGAGGCAGCTTGAAGAAAAGGAGTTTTGAATTGTGCAGAGTTTGCAGAGATCGTCGTTTGTCGTCCAGTCAACTGATTTCAGCGTCCAGATCATATAAAGCAGTTGCATTCGCAGAAAAACCCATTTTAATTCTATGAATGAGAAGTCCTAGTCAGCATGCAATGTTGGGCAAAGGAAAGGTTCTGTCAATGGTGCACCAGTGTTGCACATTGTTTGTTCATGTGGTGTTGCACAATCCTTGGTAAGTGTGATGACCTGTGACATGCTGTGACATAGCGTCACAGGGCCAATTTCTTGAGACATGGACTTTGTACCTTCCACAACACCAATCCAATATATTTTTTGCAGTGGGTTTGAGGGAATGATGTGAATTGAATCAACTGAGAGAGTTTTCCATGTAGATATTGTATTTATTGCCCCAAAAATGCGAAATCAGCTTGTTTTCCCTGCCAAATTTGGCACTCTGGAGAGATTGGACTATAACCTTCCAACCACAACACATATGAACATGGTTTGTGGGAGGATATTACTTAGAATTTGAATTCCAATCGATCTACGGATTCAGAATTTTTATTTGTGGCCCCTATGTTGAGATCACCCCTAAGAATGGGCACTTTAACATAGTTATGAGG